CTTGTTTGGGCTGTCTCGCAATATCCCTCGACAGCGAATGCGCAGCGCGATCACGATCTTCGCGGCCGTAATACAAAATGCAAATTGATGCTTTGCCGTCTCGTCCTGCACGCCCGGCTTCTTGGTAGAAGCCTTCAAACGACTTAGGGATTTGCCAGTGGACTACAAAGCGCACGTTTTCTTTATCAATACCCATACCAAATGCTGTTGTGGCGACAACGACATCGTAGCCGGCTTTATTGGCTACCCAGCCTGAAAGTGCGTCTGCACGTTCTGAAACGGAGAGACCTGCGTGGTAGGGCTTTGCGCCTATACCGTCTGAGCGGAGACGAGCGGCGAGAGACTCGCAGTCTTTGCGGAATAAAGTGTAGATTATGCCTGGTACATTGTCTGAACGTTGGTTCTGTGAAGCTAGTTGAGAGGCACGCTCAGCGTTCTCGGCACGGCGCGCGTGGATCGATTTAAGCATTTTGATAAAATCATCATAGTGGTCTTCTTCGTCAGATTTGAAGCGGACTTCATAGTGAAGGTTCGGTCTACTGGTGCTCATACGAAACATTTTTAGCTTCTTCGGGTCCAAGGCGAGCGTAGTGATGATATCGTCTCTAACACGCGCTGTTGCCGTTGCTGTCAGACATATGACTGGTACATCGGGAAATTCTGTCTTGAAGAATGACAATTGCTGAAATGAAGGTCGAAAGTCATGCCCCCATTCACTAACGCAATGGGCTTCGTCGACGGCGATACGAGCTAATTCCCCTTGAGCGTGAATAACTCGTAGGATCTTGCGGAAGTTGTCCCCTTGGCAGAACTCAGGTGTTACGTAGAGCAAGCGGGTCATAGGATGGCCACATTGAAGGTCGGATATGATCCTCTTTTTGTCTGCGGGTGGTGTAGTGCTGTTGATTGTCTCAACACGGATGTTGGCGTTGCGCAGAGAGGCGACTTGGTTGTTCTGATAGCTAGTCAGACTCTATACTGCGATGGAACAGTGAAGAACATACCATCAGTGCTAGCAGTGGAGATATGACGACAGTAACTAGCAACATTAGCAACACTAAAATCTCTCATCTTGTTTAAACGTACTCCCAAAGTCCACTACCGCTGGCAGCTGATAACACAGGCTCTTTCCGAAGGAGGTTGCTGCCTGAAGGAAGACGTCTTCGCCCTCTAACGTAGCCGTGACAACCTCGCGTTGTAACGGTCCGTAGAATAACTTAGTACGAGCAAGCATTCATTAGGTGAGTGGCATACCGGAAGCTTGCCTTCTTGAACACCTTCTTCAACGTAAAGTCAAGGTTCGAGTACGGTCGTTTCCTCTTGCCAGCCATGACTCGTGACATGAGGTACAAAGTTCAAGACAAGGGGGCAGAAGGGTTAAGGGATTTGAGTTGGACTTTTCACCGCCCGTGTGGTTGTTGCGGCGGCCTTGTTAGGGAGCGGATCATGTTGGTCCAGACGTCTGGCCGATTGAGAATTGTGGGAACCTTCAGAAGGTGTGTATGTGTTGCAGGAGCGACGCGTCGGTGCACGTGGCGGAGAACATATTCAGTCGCGCTAGCACGTGGGCCCCCACTACAAGATCTAACCTTGGAATAGCTGACAATATTTTACGTCTCTGCCAGCACTAATCCTACCGAGCTCGTGAATATTGAACCATGATGTGAATTGGATGCGGCATCCATGAAACCGGTGTAACGCTGGCAAATCCTGACCTCACGTCTCAACTGGAGTGCTTGTACCGGCGACACCATGAATGATTCACACTCTGCAGCGCATATCCCCTCTGGTTTTGTGATCAAAGATTTCTCTACCCTGCCGCCAAAGACTCGCTCAACAGTCGCAGACAAAGTGGCCAAACTTGAGAGAAAGGTCTTCCCAGCAATCGAGCACTTCAACTACGACGTGGAACTTAAGAAAAAGAACACTGGACTACTCTTGGTCTTCAAAGAAGATGACACCGATAAACTTATTGCATATCTCGTCTATCAACGGATGAAGAGATTAGCGTGGCTGCATAAACTTTGTGTGATCGAGCAAGAAAGAGGAAGAGGTATCGGAAAGGCCTTGATTTACTACCTTCGCCGTCAAATGGGAAAAGGAGGCTGCAACAAGATCTTCCTATGGGTGGACGAAAGTCGCGGGCATGCCAGAGCGTTGTATGAATTGTGCGGCTTTCAACAGTCTGAATGCCGTCCTGACTACTACGGTCCTGGGCGGACAGCACTCAAGCTTGAACTGGAGCTCGGAGACTGAACGAATACACGGAAACTCGAAACCAGCCCTTTCGATGTCGACTATCGTAATTTGCTAAGAAGATCGTCAGGATGAGAATAGTAATATTCATACGAGGAGCGGAGAAGGGTCACGATGCGGGACCGTTCTCCAGACAGGATGTGATAGCTTGACTCCAGCCTTCGATCGCTGGCGGACCATCTAAAGTTCGACTCTACTGTGTCATCACCTCGGACAGGTCACCCGCTAGATTTCCTGCCCGAGTCTGACAGGAGACGAGGCGAAAATGCGAACGTACACTGTGGCGTTTTGATGAACAGCCCGGCTCTCGAGAGGAGAAGCATATGTGGTGATCTCAAGGGCCGTAAGAGGAAATCTCAGAAGAGCAGCATTTGGTTCAGCTGTAGAAGTAGAAGTAGGTGTTAAGATGCACAAGGCAAGGGTTGTCAAATTTGTATTCAAGATCTATGATGGCAAGATTCATTCATTTGCTTCGTTATTCTGTCGTCCATATCTCCAGAAAAAGCTATGTAGCAACGTTGTCTATCCCAGGTTATCGTCCGCCTACTCCGTACGCCGAGTTATGCAAGTTTGGTCCATGTCTTGAGTCCCTACAACTGGATATCGTTGTTAAGCAATCGCACCTCCTCACCCGGTTTGAACGCCGGGAGACCAATGTATGGGCATCCGTCGCACCTGAACGCATCGCCCAGTGCGCAGTTTCCACAACTGCCAACCTTTCCCTGCACTGTGAAGTCCACTTCGGCGAGGTCATCGGCGTCCAACTTTAGGGAGTTGAGCGCTTTATCGGCGGAGGAGCGTTTAGCGGCGTCTTCGGCTTCAATCTTCTCTTTCATACCGCAGGTACAGTCTTTGCAGGCGCGTCGTCGCTTGCCGGGTTTGGGCTGGCATTCGAGTGCTGCAATCATGTTAGCAGAGCGACGCGAGGTAGCAAGGAAGAAGTGACGCACGTTGAATGACTGGACGTGCCAGATCTGCCTCTGTAATGAGGTCGTCCTCGTCGATTAGGTCATCGTCTTCGCCTGTGATTATTGGGTCGTCAAGATCATCACTGAAATCGACAAAGCCTACACCGACTGGCTTGACGGGCTCAGCCTGAGGCTGGTTGCGCTTGCGGTTGAGGTTGAGCTGGACGGAACCGTCTGGGTTGACTGTATGGTTCGCACCATTTGTGCCGTTTGCCTTCTTGCCAAACTTCAGCGGTATCGACACAGGCTCCTCTTGCTCGGGCTTGGTCATGCCGTCCGCGGTCTCTGTGAGCCCTGCCAGGATAGCCTCGGTCTTTTCTGCACCTTGGAATGGACCCGCCTGACTTTTGAGTACTCCTCCAACCTTCAATGCGCTGACAACTTTGTTCATGACATCGCGTGCCAATAGTTTGTGGCTTTCGCGCGTGGTACCGTCGGCGTCGGCGAGGAGGAGGACAACATCGTATGTGGAGGCGGGGAGATTGACCAGACCAGCAGCGATGCGATCAAGCATTTGCAGGTCGGTCGAATTGCGGTCGTGGATTTCGTAGACTTGGTCAAGTCGCTCTGGGTGCGCCGCAATCGACGGCGTGCCGATCAGAAGGCATCGCGGGGCCATGGTGGGGTATCGTGGCACTGTACGTTGATGGAGGGGCAGGTTGGTGTCGCAAAATCAGAGCGTAAAGGCAGAGTCACTACGAGAAGAGCGGAAAGGTTGCGAGAAGAAAGGAGTGTAGTAATTGAGAGGCGCGCCCGGGAAACTTTTCTGAAGACGGTCTGCGGCCTCGGAGGCGGAGAAAGCGCTGCTGACGAAATCAGGGAGAAATCCGCGGCGATTGGTCATACGACGAAGGGCTGATTGCGAGCTGACCGAACACGTGATTCCGAGTCAAGCGGAATGGCGGCATATGTATGAGTGGATCCCAGGGCGCATTAGCGTGCGAGGAGCATACATCCAGAATCCGGGGTAACCATCGTTGCTGTGAAGCCATGGAACCATGAATAGGCCGTAGTAGACACAGTGTAGTACTGACGCGTCGTTGGCACAATATGCATCTTGAAATTGAGAGCTCCAAAAGTTTGTGCATGGCTGTGCTGCTATGTCGAAAAGATTGCAGCCCACGCGACACCGACCGGCGAGATCCAGGTACCGGTGACGTACCTTTCCCCTCGTTCTTTCCCTACATAGCTCAGGAACCGAAGATCCGACTGATAACAATAAGTGTCAAGTTACTCTATACAGGTAGAAGCTATGAGCACAATTGAAGTAGTCGGAGCTGGGCAGCTGAAGGCGAACCTTCTAGAGGCGCATCTTTACAGGGTCCTATCTTGGTCGCGATATAAAGGCAGGAGCTCCTCCCAGCTTCCCCGCCTTTGCCCAAGCCGCGTGAGATGCACTGCACCAGCCTTTGACAAACAAACCAACAACCATCGTCCCTGCTAACATCGTCGTTGCTAACGTCTTGCTGCCACTTGTCCACAGATCTGCAAGGTACGCATTCTGGCCGCGTTGCTTCACGCAAGAAGACGCCATCGGGTCAAAGCTCCCATCACGAGACCATGTACTGACCCGCTTGAGCTTCTTACAGTCGCAGTAGCTCCGAGCCCGCCGCTCCTGTCTACTTCAACTCACGTTGACTCTCTTCCATCACCATTACAACAAACCCACATTCAATCCATCCACTACAGATACCAAACAGTAAGTACTGCCTTTTGTCTCATGTCTCACGCACCTGCCTTTGTTGTATTGAGCATGTAACGCCTGGAACCACCTCAATGGCTCATCGGCGTAAGACGGCAGGAGAACTATGGGACAACATCAACATGTTCGTACATCATGCTGACTTCCATAGTGACTCGCTCCCACAAGTTCACTGACCGTGACCACGCCGGCATTGCTGATGGCACTGCCGAGCGTGAAACGAGACTTCCCAAGTTCTTTGGCAAGTCTGGCCATGCTGACACCGACCCTACCAAGACGAAGAAGGGTGGTAGTGGCAAGGGCAATTGGTGAGTACAGTCAACTTGCTTCCTTTCGATGCCTAGCAAGAGCATCATGTTCTGCAAAACAACCTAGCTCTGCCTATCAAGACACTCTTATATCTCAGAGTCAGTGACTGACCACACCTTCACAGGGGCGCCGCCGGCGATGAGGTCGAAGACATCAGGCCCAACATGGCCTACGCCCGTCGTCGAAGCAACTCGTCCACCCACAACATGAAGGACTTCAAAACCAAGTTCGAGACCATTGAGACCGAGCCCGTCTTTGAAGAGGAGATTCACGGTCCTCTCGGCGAAGAGCTCGAAAAGCAGAGCACCACCTCAACCGAGAACAGCATTGCTGAGGAGGAACACGACAAGAAGATGTAAAGGCCAAGTACGGAGCCTACGGGCAGTGGCATGGCTCCAAGTTGACTGTGTGGCCGGCTTGTGGGAAAACCTTGCCCGCCTTGAGCAATTTGATAGAGCAGATATGAGCGTCTTTCCAGGCTGATATGCTCGCACATGTACCATGTTTCTCTGGGAGGTATTTTACGTTCTCTAGTACAGCCATGAGTGGTCAGGAGAACATTCATGGTTGGAAGCTGATGACGACGGCGCTTTTGGACAACTGTAATGAGTATGATAAACGAGATACGAAATAAAACATAAATCGAATGACTGTTCTGCCTGACGTGTATAGTTGAAAGATGGTGCTCTGCTCCAAATCGGCTGGGATGGGCTATGTGCGTACAAGACTAAAGACATCAGTAAACACTTGCACTGATGCTCCTGTGTGCAGCCTCTGTTGTTGTGTGAGTACACAGCGTAGAGTGTGCAGTAGACAGAGAGTTCGTAATGGTACTCGAGAGCCCTGGGGGTGAAACCAGGTTGCTAAACTCCGGCTCTAGCGTGGCACGGATCCCTGCCCATCATCAAAGCTTCGATGCATTCTTAGTTGTCACCCACAACACAGCGAAGAGCCAACACCATCACCGGCGCGCTCTATCGCGTTTCCAACCAGCCCTAATACTTCCTTCATCATGTTTTCACCAGAGGCTTCTTCGCTCGCGAGCATACGGAGCGCGCGCACACGGCGGCGCCAGCGCAACGACTCGGACGGATCTCAGCAACAACAACGAAGCCGCAAGCGAAGCAAACTCAACAACGAGACGTTCAAGGACCCGGCCGGTGCCAACGGAAATGGCAGTGCCCTGATGAATGGTCACGCTGTGCAGAGCGTAGGCGACTCAGCCGTCCTGGTGGATATGCCTCTAGTTGTTCGCGAGAAGAAGACAGCGCCAAAGCGCGCGCTCAAAGAGGACACCGGCACATACCTTGTGCGTAGATACGCATCTGTACAGTCTATTCACTGCTAACACGAGACTGTAGACCAAGAACGCAAACTACAGCGTCAAGAAACTGCCCGGGTTCCCGTCAGCGCTCCTCCGCCCGTCGAGTACGTCTTCACGTCGCCCAACTCGATGCGCGCTTGCTAACATACATGACTAGCCCCGATATATGCAACCGCCCTCCCGTCCGCCGGCCTCGCACTTGCCCTGACCTCAGATCGCGCCCTTGTCTGGGACTACAGCGCCCCCAACGGCCCCACAAAGGTCGTCTCTCTAAACCTGAACTTCGGCCTACGCCAAGGTGAACCTCTTCCACTGGGCGCAATCGTTCGTAACGGTCCCACCAACGACTACGGTATCGTTGCGCTCGCACCTTCGACAGGCAAGATTAGCTTCTGGGAGAACATCGACAGCGCAGACGCCCGAAGCCTATACCCCCAGCGCCAGCAGGGAGTAGAGGGATTTGTCAAGTTGTACTCCGGAGAAACCATAACTGGTCTGGTCGATGTGGAGCACGCAGGCTATGTCCTGGTCTTCAGCAGTGGTAGACTCGCCCAGCTGACCTTACGCGATTCCCAGGGTAGACCAAGCATTGCGACAACAGTCTTGAGCGCACCAAATGGCTCGGGAGGCAGCTTCTTCAGCTTCAAAGGCCTTCTCGGAGGATCGATCCGGAAGACTATCGCCTCAGTCAAGGCGCGGACATCGCAGTCCAAGGGCCATATGGAGGTCATCTCGGCGACACGAAACGGCCTCTTTCAGACCTGGGACTTGAGCTGGTCAGGACAAAACAACCACCAACGAGACGTAGACGTACACGAGGCGATCCTTTCGGCAGTTCAAGCAGACACCGTCCCAGAAGTACGGAACCAGCAGGACGTGCAAGTGCTGGATTTCGCCATTATGGACCAGCAACAGGGCCAGGACGCTGTGAATCTTTTGGTTCTGGTGGCGCTGTCTGGCCGGGATTCGTTGGAATACTTCCTTGTTGAGGTGGATCTGTCAAGGACTGCTGGTACGATCAGCAGGGCGATACCAGTCCGCAACTTTCACCAGAACCAGTTACCGAAGGAGCCTACCGGAACGCTTCTTCTGCCACAGCCCGGACACACAGCCTATGTCCAGTTTCCAGGAGCAGTGTTCATCGCATCCCTCGCTCAGCCAGAGGAAAGCCCTGAAGCACAGCTGCTTGCAGATTCAGGACGTTCTAGTCTGCCCTTCCAGGATACCGTTTACTTCCGGCCAGAAGTGACACTCGCGGGCAACGCATTGGAGACCTCATTACGAAAGGACAGAAAATCGACAGCCCTAATCTTTGTCCAACAATTCGGTCTTTTACAAATCGGCGCATTGCCCCCCACGACAGACGATCAGGATAGGGAGTGTGTGAAGGTTACCGCACGCAGCAAACTCGAGCAAGCCACCTTCTTCAGCACGATACCCGCAAACATCATAGACTTTTCTGTCAAGTCACGATTCTCATTCGCGGAAGAGGAGACTGCCGAAGCTGCTCTTACAATCAGCGCTGGTATCTTAAGCTCAGCGTACGACTATCTCGAGAAGGGTGTTTCTAACTTGGACGACCAATTCCAGCAACGTTTGTTTGCTCTCCGAACCCTGATCTCTCAGCTACAAACCGAATATCCTCCCGTGGATTTTCAGACAAGGTGGCGGCTCTTGTGGCATGCAGAGAAGCTCGCAGCTTCACACAAACTTTGGCTCTGGTACCAGGATAAGCTGCATGACCAACAAGCTCATCCGGATGCTTTTCCCGAGAAGATTTTGATGGGCGATATTGTCAGAGCTCTGAATGAACGCTATAAGACTGCCATTGATTCCGAGCTCGGCGAAAACGACACGATTAGACAATTCTTCGTCAAGGACGTTGACAGTCTCCACACACTAATACCCTGGGGCTGGTTCTACCTGCGGACGTTCTATATGAAGGAGGGCCTAAAGCAAACCCCGTCTATCATGCAGAGGCTCAGTGAGGGCACTGATGTCATGCTTGTCACTCTGGAAACAGCGTTCGAATTCCGGCAAGCAAACGTAGAGGTATATGGTCTCGACCCCGATTGTCTGGACGACGGCATCCTGAAGTCGGCACATGGCTATGACATGCTACCTCAGTTCTGGACTTCATCTCACAACATTGTCAGCTCTATCCGTAGCCTTATCGACGTTGGCCGCAACCTTGCTGTGGACAACTATGAGGAAGGCGACCAAGAGATCCTGGCGCAGAAGATCGGCAAGGATAACCCTCGTTTGGTGAAGCTAGGATGTCAGACTCACATCGAACGGTTCCAGTGGGCTCTTGCACAAAGCGATGAAAAGACCCGAGCCATGGGGCGTAGTCTCAAGGACGAGTGGAACAACAACGTCCGGCCGTCTCACATCATGGGTCTGATGGAGATTGGACTACCCACCGAAGGAATGGAGCTGGCTGAGCAGTACCGTGACATGTCCACACTTGTCAATCTGATCTGGGAAGAGTCGAACTGGTTAGAGACGGAGAAAGCCAACACTCGCAGCAAGATGGAGCAGGCCGAAAGCACAGTCAAGCTGAACCGGATAAAAGAGCGTATTGCACGCTACTTTGACGTCTATGGCGACGAATGGGCTGGAGCGTTCTACTCAAAGTACATCAACGAGAACCAAGCAGGGCAGCTTTTCATGAAGGAGTATCTCAACCAGCCGGCACTCACCAAGTTCTTGCGAGCTGAGCCATCGCGTGCCCGGCTCGGATGGATCAATGAAGTCTGTGGTGAGAAGGATTACGAGGCTGCTGCTGAACTTCTTTTCGAGGCTGGCTCAAAACAGGAAACCAATGCGTGGTGTCAGCGCGTTGAGCTCTCCATGGCCAAGCTCGCTCTGCTCTGCAAGCAGGAAGCAAAGCATGGCGATGACCAGCCGGTGGTTGATCCGCGCAGAGAGAAGCCTAAGGCATTGAAGATGCGTGAAGCCATGTACCACAGCATCGATCAACAACTGGAGTACACAAAGATACAGGAGGAGGTCTATGAGCGGCTACTACCCATCATCACCGGAGCTCTGGACGAGGACTCTGCGGTGGAACTCCTCATGGCTGAGTTTGGTCAGGGCCGTCTGAGGGATCGACCAGCACACCAAGCGATTCTAAAGGAGGGCTTTGAGAACCTGGTCCACCACAAGGTCATCGATCCTGCCCTCATGATTGACATACTCACTCTCATGAACGCAGATGACAGCGAAGAAGGCGTTACTTTGCTCGGAAACGATGAGTTCATCTATGCTTTCAGGGTCCTGCTTGTCAACTGGAACAACATCCACCGGACGACTCGTGATGGCCTACTGAAGCTTTTCTGGAAGCGACTGTGTATCAAAGACAACTGGGCAGCGATCAACACCACCAAGGAAGTTACTGATGCTGCGATAAACGATGTGTTGCAAGATACAACCATGGCATGGACATTCCGGACCTTGAGCGGCATGTGCAGTAAGTTGATGTCCACTACCAGATATTGATCAACGATTAACATGTTATAGTCAACAACCCTTTCGTCAGGACGCTATGGCCGAAGAACCTTCGCGATCTTCTAGGCGCAGGAGGAACACATGGAGAACTCTGTGTTCGCTTTGCCGCCGAAGATCTTCGCAACCCGATCATCAAGGACAATCTCCTGGACGACGACATCCTTCGCGAGCAGGTCAACAAGAACAGGCTCACGGATTGGTTCAAGGCAGCTTGGACAGCGGGCAAGACGATGTACGCACGCGAGCTGAAGCAGCAGGGCAAGCCCACTCCTCAAGACGTGGCTGCAGCCCCTCAAATTGCGGAGGAAGATGCGGAGGACGAGGCGGACCAGGAAGCTGCTGGGTCCGAGACGTTTGATGGTGACGATGAGAGCGCACAGCAGGAGCAAGACGTGGTGATGCAGGATTCATGATAAGTTGCGGTCGTATTCGGGGGTTTATCGGGCGCAGTGCATTCAAGGCAATCAGGACAGGCGCGCATCAAGCATTGGGCACGGCGTTTCAAAACCTGTACTCTGCAGACGCGGACAGCGTTTATTTTCTTCTTTGTTATCAAGTGTATTTGTAGCGATGGGTTTCAAGGTTTCCCGACGACAGGCGTCACATGTCTTGACCGTGTCAGTGCATGACTAGAGCAGGACGACAGAGTTGGCACCAAATGTATAAAGAGTCACTATTTGGGTAATGCATGAACGGGTAGGGGAGAAACATGAATAGTGACTTGCATAACCGCCTATCGGCAAGGGTCTCGACTGTGTTCTGTGGAGTCAAGCGACGACAAGCGTTCATTTGCGCGGTGGATACCCAGCCGTGTCAAGGAACCGAGTGTGGCGCGAGCGAGAGGGCGCGGATGTGGACGCGCACCAATGGCTGACTCGGTAACAGCCGTTGGACGATGGAGGCCGGGTTGTGAAAAAGTGGTGCTGCAAGTTGAGATGAGAGATGGCAGATGGCAATAGATAACATGTCAAAGAGGCTTGCGCCTGCTTTGCTTGTTCCTTGTCACACCAAGACCGTTGGCCACGCCGTGAGGCGAGCGAAGCCACCGAATTGACGTAGGCGGCATGCATGAACAGCAAGAGGCACAGCAGCGGTGAGGCTGGACAAAACACACGACACGCAAATGCATCCTAGTCCGGAGTGATGCAGCTCTACAGCAGCAAAGATCGTCACGTGTGCTGAGTCGGCTGTCGATGCACGATGCGATGGCGATGACGAAAGACAGAAACTTCGCTTTGCTCGATGGCAATCGCGATTCCGCAGACCAGGCTTCCCCTTCGCGCACACGCGCTTGTTGGCTGGGAAAGGATGTGTCGAATTTCCGAGGGCGTCCCAGGGCTGCTTTTGCTCGGAGGATGGGCTAGTTTGGGTGTGGACTGTGCATGCAGGTACAACAACAACTGACAGCTCAGTGGGGAAAGGACGACGCCTGCGCCGCTGCGAGGGGGGAGGCAGGATGAATGAATAGACAATCGAACCGCTGCATTGGGACCGCGCCCACGACGACGGCCAGCGTGCACTTCTTGGACTCTATGCAGGCGGGTGTAAATAGCTCAGTCGTTGCAGTCCCGTGCTCGCAGTGAATTGGGTGCTACTAACAGTCTAGCGAAGAGTCGGTTGATAGGTTGCTAGTGCACGCCCCATGCTCAGTCGCTCCTTCCCCTTCTCCACGTCTTTTCCGCGTCGAGAGTCGGTCGCTCTTTCTTCACTATACGTCCCTGTCCTGCGTCCATTCCTCTGACCTCTCCGTCTCCTCGCAGCTGCTTCGTTGCAGCACAAGTCGCTTCCGACTCGACTTCGACCCGCCCGTCTCAGGAACGCCGAGTCGCGTTCTTCGCCGGTTGCATAGCCCCCAAGCCTCGTTACCGGAGTACGGCTGCGGCCCTGTCTCGCTGCTGTCACAACCACCAAGCCACGCACCCTCCCTACCACTACTCGTCTCCCACATTCTCTCGAGGCGACCGCCAGTAACGACGCAATCGACACCATGGCGAGCGGCAGTACGAGTTCCAACGTCGTCGGCGTGCACTACCGCGTCGGCAAGAAGATCGGCGAGGGCAGCTTCGGCGTCATCTTCGAGGGCACCAACCTGCTCAACCAGCAGCAGGTCGCCATCAAGTTCGAGCCGCGCAAGAGCGATGCTCCCCAATTGCGCGACGAGTACCGCACATACAAGATCCTCGTGGGCTGCCGTGAGTGCTGACTTTCCTTGCCCCTTTACCGCTTGTTTTGTTGAACCTTATCAACACCAACGTCTATATATATCTCCGCACACCCGACAACCATCGTGACTAACCTGAACCTGTGCAGCCGGGATTCCTAATGTCTATTATTTCGGCCAAGAAGGCCTCCACAACATTCTGGTCATCGACCTGCTCGGTCCCAGTTTGGAGGACCTGTTCGACCACTGCAACAGGAAGTTCTCCATCAAGACTGTTGTCATGGTAGCCAAGCAAATGGTATGTCCCGACACCACCGTCGCGCTCTCACCTACTCACACCTCATCTAGCTGTCACGGGTTCAGACCATCCACGAGAAGAACCTCATCTACCGCGACATCAAGCCCGACAACTTCCTTATCGGCCGCCCCGGCTCCAAGAGCGCCAATGTCATCCACGTCGTCGACTTTGGTATGGCGAAGCAGTACCGTGACCCCAAGACGAAGCAGCACATCCCGTACAGAGAACGCAAGTCGCTCTCTGGTACCGCTCGTTACATGAGTATCAACACCCATCTTGGGCGCGAGCAATCCCGTCGCGACGATCTCGAGGCACTTGGCCACGTCTTTATGTACTTCCTGCGAGGTGGACTGCCATGGCAAGGCCTCAAGGCTGCTACCAACAAGCAGAAGTACGAGAAGATTGGTGAGAAGAAGCAGACCACTCCCATTAAGGACCTGTGCGATGGCTTCCCTGGTATGTCACGCGTCTCCCCCGTTCTTCGTTCATACTAACAATGCGTAGAGGAATTCAACAAGTACCTCAGCTACGTCCGGAACCTCGGCTTCGAGGACACACCCGACTACGACTACCTACGGGAGCTGTTTACTCAGGCTCTCAAGAGCACCGGAGAGGTCGAAGACGGCGAGTACGACTGGATGAAGCTGAACAACGGCAAGGGCTGGGAGGTCCTCAAGTCCCACCCATCTGCTGCGCAGGCGATGCACCACTCCAACGCCAACCCCAACTCGTCCATGGCTGTGAATATGCAAGGCCAGCAACACAGGCAACAAAAGACGCACTTGCCCATTGACCACCATCGTCTCAACGAGCCTCTGCCAAAGCCCGGAGCGACCCGTGCTCAGCCCGGACGAAGCCCACGGGAGAACATGAACCGTGATTCGCAGGTGAAGCGAAAGAGCATGGGCGAGCTTGCACCGCCCGAGGGCGCTTCGACGCAGGCCCAGTTCCAACACAGCCAGCCCAACCTTGCGCAGAACAACCGCGCTGCTCCTGCCAGCAGTCCAAACCCGCAGCAACCGAGGCAACCGTCTGCCGAGAAGCCCAGCTTCATGCAAAAACTGGCGAATGCTCTGTGCTGCGGCGCGAGCAAGTAGTAATCGCGGTCCTCAAGCTTGGTTTTCTTCCCTTTGCGTTGCATCACGGAGTCCGTTCTTTGAGCGATAGTATTCCCTCGGTCACGTTTTCTTCCTGTATAGGTATCTTGTAATGATTGATAGACGGGATCGAAAATCTCCTTCAACGGTAATAGTTACGACGACCGATCGACCGAACCGCCTCCCACACCAGCCTGGATTCCTCATCAGCGCCGAAAAAACATCATCACCATCACCATCTCCTTCATCTCTGCGCTCCCGCGTCGTTGCGAGACTACATCAGCTGGCAGTACATGTGGGAGTGATTTCCATTGGGCGCTTGCGGCGTTGCGGTGTGCTTGGGGAGGCTCGCACTTTGTGGCATCTCATTTTCATTATTCATTTTTTTGGCACGAGGAAAATATAGCATGTAAAGGAGTATCTTCTGAAGGCGCGGCCGAGGCCTACTGTATCGCGTGTACAGGGCGACAGACGGGCCTCGCTTTAGTTCAGGTAGAGTAGTTGGGCGAATAGACGCACTCACTACGCCGAAATTTCATTTTTGTACCTCAGTGACGTTTGCCATACTCAGCATCATGTCTGCGTGTCCCTGGCCAGTAGCTGCGATCTAGCCGTTGAGGGGATCAAGTGATCATCTCAAGGCAGGAGCTATGGCCTCTTTGCGCATGCGATTGGAAGGTGCCGTAACAGCGGCAATCCATGACTCCATAGCTGTGCGTACCTATAGCGCAAGAACTTGACTTGTAGCCTGGTTACTCTTGAATCTCTTCGAAACCCTTCGCGCAATCTCTTGAATAAGTTTCCCAGCCCATTTTGATATTTTTTTTCTCCGACATACCAATATTCCCACACGTGAGGTACCTGCGCAGGGTCCAACGCGACTTCCCAACAACGAAATTAAGCTCGTCCACTCAGCCCGGGGCCTGCGAATCCATCACCCGCACCCTCTCCTACTACCGGCTCATCGATCAGCGGCGCCTTGCGAAAGTTGCGATGGCGTCGGGACGCGATGTGCGCGATATGCTCGGGCTGCCTGCTGCCGGCGGTGATGCGCCAAAGGCAGTAGGTCCAGCAGCAGTGGCGGCGCAGACACAGAAGCGGTCAAAGCCTGCAGGAGGGAGCAGGAAGATACGTACGTTTGGCAGTCCTTACGTCTTTCCTTGGGAAATCGTCAAAAGGTCGAGACTGACTCTCATTCGACCAGAGGGCGTTGCGCGCGAGGTTGCTGCGCTATATGGCGAACGCCCACCGCCTGTCGCCGTCTACGAGGAGAAGAAGGCGTACCGGGCAAAGAGACAGAGCACAGGGCCGGCGAAGCGATGGTATGTAAGGGTGAGGGACCTGTGGAAGATTGGCTAATTCGCGTCTCTAGGATACAACAGCCGTTTACGAACCCAGCGCGCAGCGATGGCCTCGTTCTGAAGCATTGGCGGCGCAAGCCGACGACCGCACCGCCCGTACAAGAAGCCGACGACGCGATGATGCAGGAAAGCGACACCGCCGACAACTACCTCGAACTGTGCGCCGACTACGCCAAATATGACATCAAGGTAGACATGCCCGGCTTCACAGACGAGGAATACGACCAGTACCTACGGAGTGACGACTGGAGCCGCGAGGAAACAGACTACCTATTCGAGGTAGTGAGAGACTACTCGTACCGCTGGCCTGTGATATGGGATCGCTATGACTACAGGCCATCGCAACCACATCCACCAGAAACTGCCAACGGCGAGGACCAAGCACTAGCCACGATGCCTTTTGCGCCGTCCAAGAAGCGATCACTGGAGGACCTGAAGGCCCGCTTCTACGATATTTCGGCCAAACTCATGAAGCAACGTATACCAGAAGTCTCAA